CTAAAGGTTGGTCTGGTCCCACCTAAAAAAGCTTAAAGGCAAACCTCAAAAGATCAAATTGTTTCCAAGTAACTTAACCGAGTCCTAGAACAAAGCCCAAGAGTATATGAAGAAATACAAAAATAACCAGTACCCAACAAGGTAACATTCATAATGCCCAGCCTCCAATAAAAATTACCAGACAGGCAAAGAAGCAGAAAAAATTACCCATAATGAAGAGAAAAACCAATTCACAGAAACAGACACAGAAATGATACAGATAGCATAGGCAATGCCATTAAACCAGTTATTATAATATATTCCATATGTTCAAGAAGACTGAGGAAAGAATTAGTAAATTAAGCTAACAAAATACTTGAAAATATTTGAAGAAATAATGGCTGAAATTTTTTCAAATTTAATGAAAACTCTAGGGGCTTCCCTGGTGGTGCAGTGGTTGAGAATCTGCCTGCTAATGCAGGGGACACGGGTTCGAGCCCTGGTCTGGGAGGATCCCACATGCCACGGAGCAACTAGGCCCGTGAGCCACAGCTACTGAGCCTGCGCGTCTGGAGCCTGTGCTCGGCAACAAGAGAGGCCGCGACAGTGAGAGGCCCACGCACCGCGATGAAGAGTGGCCCCCGCTTGCCACAACTAGAGAAAGCCCTCGCACAGAAACGAAGACCCAACACAGCCATAAATAAATTAATTAATTAATTTAAAAAAAAAAATTTAATGAAAACTCTAAACCCAAAGATCCAAGAAACTCAACGAATCCTAAGCACAAGTAACATTAAAAAAAAAAATTACGCCAAGACACATTATAAAGTTATTTAAAACCAGTAATAAAATCTTAAAAGCACAAAGAGAAGACGTTAACTACAGAGGAGCAAAGATAGGAATGATAGCAGACTTTTCAGCAGAAACAATGTCAGCCAGAAGACAGTGGAGCAAATACTCAGCAAAAATACCTCAAAAGCAAAGGCAAAATAATTACCTTTTCAGACATTCAGAACCTTAAAGAATTCCTTCCCAGCCGACCTCCACTACAAGAAATGTTAAAGAAAGCCCTTCAGGAGGATGGGAAATGATACCAGCTGGATCTACACAAAAGAATGGAGAACCCAGAAATGACAATTACACGGATAAACGTGAAACACGCCTTTCTCGTACTATTTAAATCTCTTTTAAAAAGATAATTGGACGGAAGTCAAGGGAGCACTTCCGGGTTCAGCAATAACCTGGAGCCGGCGGCGTTAGGTCGGCCGTCTTGGGCCTTGCTCCAAAGCTCCGCCTTCACTCTGGTCTTTCTAGAAACCCAGCTGTGCTCTCGGGTGTGCTGGACAGCCTCCCAGAGGCGTGTGTAATAAGCCCCCCATAGTGGACACGGCCCCGAACGGCCCCCAAGAGGCGGGCGCAGTGCAATTCATCACGGCCAATAAACTGGCCACGGCAATGTTAATTTCTCGCTTGTTCATAGTTTACTGCTCTTTGTTCTGCCTCTTCTTGGGGTGCATGAAGTAGCAAGCTTTTACCGACGTGCTTTGCTGGCAAATGCTCTGGCTAGTGCTCTGAGGCTGCACTAAAGCTTACTACACTTCCAGTTAAGCAGAGCATTCCTGGCCCAGGCTTTGTTAGAGGACAGCTGTCACTACCTGTTCTGTTCACTCATCTTTCTCAATTCCTACCCCGTTACAATTAGTATTTCCCAGTCTCGTTATTTTCTTCGCTTCATACTGCCACATACACGAAAAAGGTGCCTTGATGCAAAGGGTTCAAATAGTTTACCTCTGCTGAGACCTCTCGGATAAATTCAGCGCTAATCAACAGAATATTCTGAAATTCATTGCTTGTCATGAAATATTCTTGATGCCTGCTACAGTTTTAATGCTTTTTAGGGTCAAGGAAGTTTGCTCCAGCCTTTTATATACCATAGATTCCTTACTGTTCGATACTCCTCTAGAAGAGGTCCATATTATTGGACCTTGTTTAATGAACGGAGGATTGTTGTTGAACATCTAATAATGAAACCTGCTTGCCCACTGTTTGTGAGAAGACTTCGTCTCCAAAGCATTGTCTTTATAAGCAGACTGGCACCAACAGTTGCATAGTTTAACATACAGCTAAGTTATGTGTAATATAAATAAGCACTGTTAGCTGCTGGTACTTCTGCTAGGGATGGTTAATTCCAGGTATAAAACTGACCTCACTGCAATTTACATAATTTACATAAATGCATCTCAAAAGAAAAATAATCATTTTCCTGGCATGTTAAGTCAAGCCTTTTAAACTTTCTGAGAAACTTTATTGTAATGTGTTGTTAACAGTTAAGGAAATTTAAATCTTGTGATAAATGTACCAAAAATTCTTTAGACGCTGCTGTGCCTTTATCATGAAGTACCTTTATTTCTCTTGTAAAAATAGCTCTAAAATTCGTTTTCATCTAATTAGTAACCTGAATTTATATCTGGCATGAGTTCATTATGGTAATATTAACATGTAAATTCAGTATATTTTGAGACAGTATTCTTTTGCCATTCAGTAATTTTGGTTGATGATTTTAACAAAAACACTTCCCACTATTTAATTTCAAATTGTTTTTAAATTGATTTTGTGCTGCTTTGTTAGGATTTATTTTGGATGTACCATTATAATAGGAATTCTATATGTATCTTATGCTATGATCTTCCAAAATTTTATTTTCATAATTACTTCTGTGGCTTTGAATATTTTTTTTAAAAGGCCCAACTGTAAGACTGTCAGCCAATTGGGTTAAATACTTGTGGTCACCTAAGCGTTTTACATAAAAGAGCAGTAGTCAGACAGTTTTCCTTTCAGAGACCCATTGAGTAACATTTCTCAAATAGGAAATCCTTCTTCTAGAAATGTGCACACATAGGTTTTAGTATTATTGTAGTTTACACAATTACTTAGGTCAGATTCTTGACTGCCAGTTTTCTCGGTTTCTTAGGCTTGAATTTTCACAGACAATTGCAGCAGTTCAGATGCTTTCTGAAAGGAATGTAACTGAAGACTGAGCATGTGACTAAACTTGGTATCTGTTCTGAAATATTGAAGACTATACATACTTACCCATCAAATCTGATTTAAAAGATTAAACAGAAAGGTTTATATAGATAAGGTTATTGAATAGAAATGGGGCCAGAGGAGGAGTTGTGGGGGAAATAGTGTGCATTTCAATGTTGTAATGCATAGATAAATTTGGGAGAACTGGATATGTTATGATGTGATTTTAGTTGTATAATATGTTAAATACGTTTGTTGAGCTTCCATCAACTCCTTTATAAAATTCATTCTGATCTTTATTATTGTTGCATGATTGAAATGTTTAAAATCATGCATAGATAAATTTGGGAGAACTGGATATGTTATGATGTGATTTTAGTTGTATAATATGTTAAATACGTTTGTTGAGCTTCCATCAACTCCTTTATAAAATTCATTCTGATCTTTATTATTGTTGCATGATTGAAATGTTTAAAATATTGCAAAATGTTAAGAGTAACGTAGACTCTGAGATATCACAAACAAGTAAATTAAAATAATACAGTGAATGAAGGGACTAACATAGGGTTGTTAACTCTATTTTACCAAGTAAAAACTTACAAACAAACAAGCATAATTATTATTTTACTATCACCATACTCATAAAAGAACAGGCATTTTAAAATTATGGAAGCAAGAAAACCAATCACCAAATAATGTATCATCAGTACTCACTCCACTCTTATTTTTTTTCTCACTTTACCATGGAAATTGGTCTGAGGGTTTGAAAAACAGAGAATTTGGTATCACTGCTCTACTGTATAATGGCTCTGCCTCCATACACAAGCACCCTCAAGAAAAGACTGCTGATGCCTAAAAAGAAATCTCTTAAATGATAAGTGGCATAAAGTATCTTCACCTGATTCAGCATAGCAGTTCAATTAAAAACTGCATTATGAAAAGACTCAGATTTTCTTAACCCTGATATCAAACCAACAAACATTCCTAGCAATTTTATAGGCACAGAGTAGTCACTCCACATGCCAGGAACTCTAGTAGCTGGTCAACATCAGCAATACAATTTAATTCCACCTCAAAAATGTCAGCCTGCTTAGGTTTAACACACAGCTCTCCACTTACTTCCTAGTGATCTTAGACAAGTTATCCAAATTCTCTGAGCCTTGCAAGACTGAAAATACATGGAAGTTACTTAGGAGTGTGCCTGGCACATAGTAAAAGGACTAATATTAGCAGCTATTACTATCATTACTCTGCTTGGAAATGCTCCTGCCCTCATTTATCCAAACTTAATTATTGATGATGTCCCCCCCCACCCTCATAAAACACCCACATCTCTTCCAGGAACTCTCTGTTTTCCTAACCAATCCCACCTAGCTCTGGTTAATTCAACTGTTCCAGCATTTATTCATTCATTTAGAAAGTAACTTCTTCTTTTAGACAGCAACTTCTTAGTACCTGTATGAAAAAGCTCTATAAAAGTATACCTTCTTTTGTACATTTTACACATGTACTCTCTGAATTCAGACTCAACCATTAAGGCAAAAACAGTGTCTACTACCTGTTATAGCTTCCAATGGCACCTACTACTGAACTCTGCTAAGATATCAACATTTACGAAATGTTGACTTCACCAGCACACTATTCTGCTACAAATACAATGGGCTTCTTAATTGTGATGTGCAGTTTTTCCAATGCAGTATCCCAACAGAGCATTAGTAGCCACCAAGCAAAAGGATTCTGCGTCTCCATCAGTAATGTATGTTTGTTTCTCTATATCATTTTCAAAATTCAACCTCTCGACTCAGCTGATGTGTACGTCTGCATACCACGAAGTATTAGTACCGCTAATAAAACAAGTTGCCCATAATTTGCCACTATTTCGTTCGTGACGATAAAGTTTTCCCTTGTGCAAAGCAACCTAGTAAAAATGAAACCCAAGTTTTCTCCAGTTCATAAGAGACGCAAAGATACGGCATAGGAACTGGGCAAGTTACCTCGACGTTGTCTGTGAGACCGTACTCAGAGTGGGGATTTTCTGCAACCTAGAAAACAAAACACCGGTCACAGAAACATCAGCCACTCTTCCTTGCTTCACACCGCCACCCTGAATCCAGGGCCTTCTGGTACCTGCGTCTGTCCCTCCAGCATCTGCTCTGGTTCCATGGTGGACCCTGCAAGTCACAGTCCCCGGATACCAGTCTTGGAAAACAAGAAAAACCGTGAGTTACCCGGGAGATTTCAAGACGAAGACACCAGGATGGAGTCCAGCCCAGCCGCGACCCCGCCCCTCACCCCCACCTGGGCGCGGAGCACCCCGAGCAGTAGAGGAACAGGGTGGGACAGTCCACGACCGGGCGCCCGCATCAGGTCCGGAAGCTCCGCCGTACTCCCAAGAACCTAGAAGAGGTAGAGAAAAGGGGAAAGGGAGCTGATTACCCGCGCCCAAGCCGTTCGTTCCTAAGAGCCCTGCACCGCGCCACCAACTCCCAGCACAAACCACTTCCGCCGTAAGTGACGGATGTCGCACGACTGCCGCGCCTGCGCAGAACTGCCAGCGGGGGCCGGGCTGGGAGAGATCCAGACCGGCCCTGATTCTACTACGATACTCTTTGCGGCAAGAAGGGACTTGGGGAAGTTGTGGCCTCGGGGTCTGCCAAAGACTCGTTCTTCGACCTGCCTACCCAGAGCAGGCGTCACCCCAGCTGCAGACCCAGTGACTAGGCCAGCCGGCGGAGGTTCGACCTGGCCAGCCCTCCGTGCTGCCAGAAATCTGCCGAAGCTCTTCTTCGCGGAACGGAAACCACTTGCTGGATAGTTCTTACTAGAAAATCACAGGCCCAAACTCAACTGTCTACGAAAGAATGTCACTGTTTTACTCTAAAGCCAAAGTGGGGAAGAAGAAATGTTTTAGGGTTTCGTAGTAAGCTTTTATTCCAGCCCTTAAATATGTGAACATGCCACGTTAGTGCTACCTTACATTTGTATCAAGATTAGCAATATGCAGCTTGCTTTCCAAATCGTGATACTATTGATACTATTGTATTTGTAAAAATACAAAAGATAATTTGCCTCCTACACACATTTGTAAATACCAGACAGGATCCAGTAAATCGGATTGTTGTTGTAATTCCAATAAATTCCTTTTATTTTAATGTAAATATAAGTGATACACTCATTAAAGTGCCTGTCTTTGATTCAATAATCCCATTTGTAGTTGCACTTTGTAATATGAAAATATTTTAACTTCATGTAAAATATTTGGAGACTTAATTATGGCATATCAATATACTAGGATAAAGCCATAACTCTAAAAATGCAGAAATATTTGTGATCATAACACTAACGTGTTTGTTTTCTAAGGCCGCGCTGTGCAGCATGCGGAATCTTAGTTCCCCAACCAGGGATCAGACCCGTGCCCCCTGTGTTGGGAATGTGGAGTCTTAACCACTGGACCGCCAGGGAAGTCCCAAACAATGTCATTTTACTACTCCGTTAAAACTGCATGGCTAAAAATCTAAAGTAAATAAAATTTGTTTAGGATCCAGACTTGTGGATACATTTTTAAAGTTTTATTTTATAATGTATACTTGATTGGGACTTCCCTGGTCGTGTGGCACGGTGGTTAACAATCCGCCTGCCAATGCAGGGGACACGGGTTCCATCCCTAGTCCGGAAAGATCCCATGTGCCACGGAACAACTAAGCCCGAAAGCCACAACTACTGAGCCTGCATGCTGCAACTACTGGAGCCTGCGCACCTAGAGCACATGTTCCAAAACAAGCCACTGCAATGAGAAGCCTGCGCACCACAACAAAGAGTAGCCCCCACTCGCCACAACTAGAGAATGCCTTCACGCAGCAACGAAGACCCAACACAAACAAAACTTAAAAAAAAAAAATCAGCTTATATAATGTATGCTTGATTAGCATTGTGATTGGTGACAGCTTTTTCATGTAGAACTGTTGCAAAGATGTGGATGCGTTTGTATGGGATATAGAATTTTTCATGCAGAATTGATGCAACGTTGTGGATGCTTATGTACAGGATATAGAAACTGACTAGTACATATATTGATTCAAATTAAGATTAAATGCTTTTCAGGAATGGAAAATAACAGAAAGTAAAACCAGAGAATGATTGGGAAAACTTAAGAGGAGAGTTATGTGGATCGTTATTATATATACATACATTTCCCGATACATAGTAGTCACGCCATAAAAACTTCCAAATTAAAAAAAATAAAAATAAAAAAAACAAAACAAAAAAGTCTTCCAGAAAGTAACTGAGAGCTGCTAATTTACATTTTCTAAGTACTGACAGTATTAGTAAAGTAGGAAGCTAGACTGTGAGCTCCTTCAGGACAAAGAACTTGTTTTATATATCTTTATGCTTCACATGGTGCCTGTAAACCATCATTATGACAGAAATTTGCAATATTTGCAATATTGTGTACTATTTTTTTGTTGTTGTTAGTTTCTGCTTTATATCTTGTGTACTGTCTAGAGTGGGATAAATTAAAAGAATGAGAATAACATTTAGCTCTTATTTGGACTTGTAGTACAAAACTTTGTTCAGTACTCTTCTCATCTACTTCCACTATGTCTAGGTACACAACATATATTGAATTGATTCACAGTTAAAACTGGATTTTAATTAAGACACTGACACTACTGAAGAAAAAGGACAGAATGTAAAAATGATTACTGAAGGAAACAGCACAGAATAATTAACTATAGGCCAGGTTTCTCTCAATCAAAAAAAAAAGTTATCAGTGTGGTTTACAAAAAAGCTTCGCTAAAGTTTTTACATTTATAACATTAATTGAAAGATTCAGGGAAAAAGCCATAGCAGCAGAGAGCTGAGCAAAAATAAATAAATAAATATAAGTAAATAACAGCTAGAAATGATAGAAACAAAGTAGCAAGAAAGTTATAGGAAGTATAAAATTAATTCAAAATACCGCAGAATGTTGTTTTGATATGAAGTTTAAAATTCTAAAGAGTGTGGCATAGAAAACAAACTTATGGTTACCAAAAGGAAAAGGGGAGGAGATAAATTAGTAGTTTAAGAGTAACATATACACACTGCTATATATAAAATAGATAACCAACAAGGACCTACTGTATAGCACAGGGAACTATACTCAATATTTTGTAATAACCTGTAACGGAAAAGAATCTGAAAAAATATATATATACACAGGTATATACATATATCTGAATCACTTTGCTGTACACCTGAAACTAACGCAACGTTGTAAATCAACTATACTTCAATAAAAAAAATTAAAATAAAATAAAAAGATGGCCCTGTAAACCATCATTATGACAGAAATTTGCAATATTGTGTACTATTTTTTTGTTGTTGTTAGTTTCTGCTTTATATCTTGTGTACTGTCTAGAGTGGGATAAATTAAAAGAATGAGAATAACATTTAGCTCTTATTTGGACTTGTAGTACAAAACTTTGTTCAGTACTCCTCTCATCTACTTCCACTATGTCTATTATGGTACTTACCTCATCCTGCCTTATATTTTGTTTACAGTTAAACACAATTAGATTTTTTAGTTCTTCAAAGGCAAAGATCTTATTATATTCATCTTTTCATTTTTTGTTTCTTATATTTGATAAATATTTTTTCAAAAGTGAATTTATAAGGAAAGCAAGCAGTTGCACCAAAGTACTAGTCTCTAGCCTTCCTTTCTTGGGGTTTTGGGGAGATAGTAGTTATAGATTCTAGAACTAGAATTCTAGAATCTGGAATAATTTTGCTACTGTTCTTGACCCCCTTTTTACAGACATGATGCAAATTCTGTTAATAAAATATTAACCTATTTAGACAGGCAATACCTATTTAGGAATAATACAATATGTGTAGTAGAGAAAGAATTGATTTGGGATTAGTTAAGTATTAAAACCTGGTTCCTTCATTTGTTTGCTATGTGGAATTAAGCAAATAGTTTAACACTTCTGAGCTTCATGTTGTTTCACATATATAATTAGCATAACAATTCTTCACAGAGAGAATCAAATGAGATTAGACAGATGAAACTGCTTTGTAAACAAAAGTTATATAAATCTAAGTGAAACCTAAGTACTTCATTATTGTGATATTGTTCTACTTATGGTTGTTGTTTCTAATCTGTTTTTTTCTTTTAAATAATTTGTGGGAGAGAAAGTGCTCAGAGAAGTAAAGAACATGATCCAACACACACACACACACACACACACACACACACACAAATATGTTTGCAGAGAAATACACAGAATTTATTGAGTGTAAATTAACCCTCTGAATGCGGTTCGTGTGGAGGGACACCAACCACCTTTCAAGAAGACCTAAAGGGCTTCCCTGGTGGTGCAGTGGTTGAGAGTCCGCCTGCTGATGCAAGGGATGTGGGTTCTTGCCCCTGTCCGGGAGGATCCCACATGCTGTGGAGTGGCTGGGCCCATGAGCCATGGCCGCTGGGCCTGCGCATCCGGAGCCTGTGCTGCCCAATGGGAGAAGCCCCAGCAGTGAGAGGCCTGCGTACTGCAAAAAAAAAAAAAAAGACAACAAGGAAGTATTTTTTGTTGTCTAATATAGGAAGACAACTACTCCACCTGTAGTTCCCTTGTCTTCACTACCAAAATCCATGTCCAGGCACACTTACCACCATCCCCAAGGACCATATCAAATGGGCTTTTCAAAGACATGAATACAGGGACTTCCCTGATGGTCCAGTGGTTAAGACTCTGCACTTCTACTGCAGGGGACACGGGTTCAATCCCTGGTCCTGGAATTAAGATCCCACATGCTGTGTGGCATGGCCAAAAAAAAAAAGACATGAATAAAGTGTATTCTTGATTTTTATGATACAGACATACCTCAGCAATGAGAATAGTAAAAATGAAGGAAAAGGTTAACCTTAATATCACTTCCCATCCCAAAATTGTCAATTACTTCAGCCGTTTCTCATAAGAGCCTATATTTAGATTTCCTTTCCACATTCCAGGAGGGAAAGCATCACTTCTCATGGGTCTACCCATGAGAAAAAAGTCTGAAGTTTTCTTTCACCTATCCAACTTGAACCAGTTATTTCGATAAGGCAGATGCCATGTGCGGATTGCCACAGACCTAAATTACTGCCTTCCCTGAGCAATGACAAAGATATGACCTGGTGGTAGTTAATACCACCTGAATTGCATGACCGCTATGCAATGGGACAGGACGGGTTTCACAAGGGAAAACCTTAGAATGGCTAGGAAGAAGGAAGAAAGGTAATGGATTCTGAGTAGTGAGTCAACAAATGTTCACTATCACATACTATGTAAAGAGTTCATACTCAGTATGAGCTTACCACAAAAGAGATAAAATAAAATGGAATGTTCACTTTGACACACTAATTCTACTTCTGTGATTTTAATCCCATAAAAATACAAAAATGTACAAGGGTACAAAGATACTTACTGTACCACAGTTTTTAGTAGAAAGAGATTG